GCTTCATGTGACCCTCAGACTCAGATTAAGAGCGTTTGTCAAGAGGAGTCCCGTAGTGCTGACTGTAGCGTAGTAAAGCAGGTGTGTAATCACTCGGCTCCTGAATCTAGCGCGTTGGATGCTTGAGGAGATTTGAATTCTCCATAGGCACCATAAGTCAACTAGAATACTTTTATTTTTCCCAAGAAGTCCTTATTAAATTGAAAGGGATATTTTAATGCACCATAGAAGCAAGTATATAATGTGTTTTCAAGGCATTAAAAATACCCTGGTACTGAAAGCAGAAGTGCTTATTTGTTAGCTTTAAAAGCTACAGAAGCATGCTGATAGAACTCTTTTCCTGACAGTATTAACTAAAGCCTGGGGTACATGAAGATAAGTGCCAAGCCGTCTGTCACGTAGAGCATGTGACAAGCACTGTACACGGCCAGATGTGTAAAATGGCGACCAGGCTTGTTACAAAAAGACACTAGAACAAAACAAAGCGAGTGTGCTCTCTACAGTGCACGGCGGCCTGGGTAACAAAGACTGTTTGTTTTCTTCCCTTGATTGTGCAGGACCCCTGAAAGGCAGGTGGGGTACAATCAGAGTAGCCACTAACCATGGCTTTCTGTAAGGGGCTTCCACAACACATGGATTGCTGGCTCTCGTTTGGTTCACTGGTGTGGTACACAGCTATCCAAGCTTAAAAGAAAGTAAATAGACATTAATAGCAGTAAATTATTTTGATAAAAGCTGTGTTAAAAACCATGTCCTCTGGGGGTCTTTTCTGAGACTGATATTCCAACCAAGGACCATTCATGGAGATAACCTAGAATCCCTGCACAGATGTAGCCCATGGCAGCTCAGTGTCCAAGTGGGTTCCCTAGTAAGGAGAACAGGGACTGTCTCTGACATGAACTCAGTGGCTGGCTCTTTGATCATCTCCTGGGGAGGGGGGGGGCAGCCTTACCAGGCCACAGAGGAACACAATGCAGCCAGTCCTGATGAGACCTGATAAGCTAGGGTCAGATGGAAGGGGAGGAAGACCTCCCCTATCAATGGACTAGGGGAGGGATATGGGAGGAGAAGAGGGAAGGAGGGTGAAATTGGGAGGGGACAGGGAGGGGCCTACAGCTGGGAAACAAAGTGAATAAATTGTAATAAATAAATAAAGTAATTAATTAATTAAAAAAACAAGAAGTATGTCCTCAAGATGGAAATGTGCGTTTTCCCACATGTCATTCCTTCTTCTAAAATGTTGTCCATTTATTACATAAGTTGAAAGAGACACCTTAACAATATATTTTGGAGCTAGCTGTGTTGTCATGCAGAAATATAGTACACTTTCAAGTAGTATGTCTTAATTTTTCTTTTAAGACATGGCTCTCACTGCGTAGCCCTGGCTGGCCTGGAACTCGCTGTGTAGACCAGGCTAACCCTGAACCCACAGAAGTCTGCCAATGTGCTTCACTTGCTGACTGCTAGGATTGGGGTGCCTGCTACTCTACCCGCTCTGCTTTTTTCTTTTCTTTCTAAATGTGTCTTGGTCTGACCCAAAACGCCAATGGATGTGTTTTCACATCCTTCTGAGCTCCACGTCAGTGTTTACCCTACCCTCTGCAACATAAGCGCTCAGGCCTGGCCAGCAGTTTGCCCTCGGCACCCAGCTCTCTGCCCCGCTCAGCAGATGACCAGCCACTGGGACATCTTCTTCTCCCAGACCTGCGCAGTGGAGGTGCTCATGGGCCTGGATGTTACAGGACTGTGTTGAAGATGGTGGGTTATGTGTTTATGGCTCTGAGGACCAGTCTTTCTTTATCTCCATAAGTGGAAGTGTTGCCGTCAGGTGGAGCGTCCCTCTGTGCCTACACACCTACTTCCTGGAATATTCCCAAACCAGGTAACTACAAGGTCCTGGCTTTTTTGATAGAACGTGGACTTCACTGGGCTCTGAACTGCAAGCTCTCATCTGTTCATATACATTAGACACCTTTCTCTTGATATTTTGATATTTACCTTCATCAACATTGGAGTGTAGAAACTGGGAGAGCAGGGTATTCAGCAGCTCTATTGTAAACTAGTGTTGCCTTCACAGTGACTCTGTCAGCGTGTGTGGGCACTCTCCTAGAACTGGGGGAGCTCAGCTTGTGCACTGAGTCTGGTTTTCCAGCCATCTATGTACATGACAATGGCGTGGCTTTCAGGACATCATCATGACCCAAATCAGAGCTGCAGTCTGGAACCCTCTTCTCTGTCGTCTTTCTGCCCTTCTGTTTACCACAAAATGGATCTTTGCAAAGTAGTGTTCTTTAACTCTCTCGGGGTGATTATTCCTGGGAAGTGCTTCAGACCTTTCTCCTCTCTCTTTAACTTTCTCTTAACAGTTTTTCTCAAGAAAAATTATACTGTAAGGTGTGAAAAAGTCTGAGACTCTTGGCTTTCAGCAGTTCATTTAAACAAATCTCTGCAGTACAGGACTTTTGAAGTTTCTTGTCAGTTCTTCGTGACTGTCTTGGCTACAAACATAGTGACAGTTTGTGAAGTCACTCCTGAGGGTTGACGATCAGTGGTGGCACTCATGGAAATAGCAGAAGGAAATCAGTGAAATGGCAGCCAGGTTCATGGGAGTGCTTCACAGGAGATCTCTGAGTACCTAACTCATGTGGCTCTTGGATAAACCTACCGAACAGCAGTCACCCTTGAGAAGTAGCGTGCAGATGCTGAGACCGGGGAAAACAGCCTCCAGGACAGCAGTTTCAGGTGGACAAAAGATCTGGAAAGGAGTTCTGAAACCTACATTGAAGTCGCTAAGACTGAAGTTGATTTAAGCTAAGTTACGTAAGTCAGGTCATTTCAGAGTAGGATATCATGCTCATATGTTGTGAATAGTCAGGTTTTAGGAGCATTTTTTATTAAGTAACTTCCAGTTACAGATCTCAAAATTTGAAGAAAAGAAAAAGCTCCTTTTGCTGGTGGTTAAGAGTCAGTGAAGTTTGAAGGGCTCTATGAAATCAAAACTGTTGTTTCACTAAGGTGGCAAGAGGTGATTGTCACTCGCACTGGTATTTTCCAGCTTTTCATGTAAATCATTTTAAGAGCTTCGATCTTTGAAAAGCGGGCTTACTTTTGGAATCATCACTGCTGCTGTGAGGCACAGAGCTCCTTTCATCCTTTCACTAGAAGAGTTAGTGTTTCACCATCAGGCTGGATTGATGACCCTTCTTGAATATCCTTGATCAAATAACCTCAGAACAGAAGTAATTAAGAAGAATAGCTTTCTCTGTTTTACATGGAGCATTAGCAAAAATACCTCTCAAGAAGCTAGTAAAAATATACATTATTGTAATAAGTTTAAAAAGCTGATTTCAATGTTCTCGTTTTCTAACCCCATGCCTGCCTCACTGACAGGGTGGTTGGCCCCGACCAGAGACGCCGCTGTGGTGTGTCACGTGCTGTCCAGGGCGTGGGTCTTGGCGCCTCGCCCTGCCCTGTTCAAGATACTTGTTTTCCTGACATTTTTGTTGTTTCCAACTTTATTACTATTTTTATTTTCATTCCTCCATAATTATTAGTTCTGATACTCTATAAATTTTCAATTATATTTTTATTTTAATCTCACATGCTATTTTATTTTTGTTTTTGTGTTTATTTTTCCATGTCCTAATGACGTTTATATTTTCTTTGTAATAAACTTGAATTATGTGGGTTTTGCCCCTTTCAATCAATATTTGTTTTTGATTTATCGTTACCAAGAACTTATGGCCAGTTTTAGATGCCAGTATTTTTGGTTTCTTCCTTTAAAACTTTTCTTATTAAAAATAATGTCCTGTCAAGCAGGTTAAATTGTACAGAGAGTTCAGTATGAACTGAGAGTGCTGGACAGTTCCTGAACTGCCCGGCAGCTGCTACTCATAATATGCCGGACAGTGAGAGGATCCATCAGCATGAACTGTTAGCTCTTCTGCAGAGGGCAAGGAACAGCTTGAGATCCACGTTTAGACAACGTTTTTAAAATGCTGTGATGCACTTGGGTGTCTGACTGATTCCTGCTTAGTTAAATGTTTTGTAGCATTAGACCATAGTTGGATTCAGCTCATCTTTTAAAGCAGTTGTCAGGAAAATACGGGCTAGCACGGTAGCATGTATTAGCTCAATACCTTGTCTCCATTTTATTATGAAGCTGCTGCGGAAGCTGTGATATACGGCACTGTCATTACAGATCTATTGTTGGGACGCTCCCCAGTCTTCTCCGCGCGGCCATTAATTTATAGCAGTAAACAATATGTAGCCTTCCAACTGCAGCAAAGCAGAATCTTTTAATGAGGTGGATGTTATTGCCACAATAAATCAGTGCTTTCCGCAATGCATAATTCAATGTGTGTATTCCCACTGTAGCTCCTCTGAGTAAGCTGCCACTGTATCACTGACACTGCGCAGCGCCGCTGCCTTCTGTCTTAAACCTTCTTTTATTGGCTGGCTTCTCTTTTATATGCTTGCAAATAAAGGTGGTATGTCTTGATAGCTGCCCTGTAGCAGCTTCAGGAACCAGCTGGGATGATACCAGCCAGAATCGATACTGTAGTTCTACCTACGTGGATCTCAGTACGATGCCTTTTCTTTCAGTGCTAGTGAAATCAATCCTAATTGGTCTTAGCACTATATTCAAGAAATGTGATTCCATAACTATTGATTCACTGAGGTACTCATTTGGAGAGTAATAAAAATAGGAGCAGATAAAGTGTACACTTGGTACGCAGCTGAACCTCACAAAAGGCACATTGATTCTATTTTTAATTCAGACAATGTCTTCTAGTGTTTTTATTTCTCTTCTTCCTCTTTACATGGCTGTCTTTAGGGATAACAACTAAGATTCATTTAAAGGCCCTCCACATTTGGTTCTGTAACAAAGAATTCCTGCAATGAGTGTGATTCTTATCATGTAGTTAGTAAGTCAGATATTATTCTTTAGTACAGAAACTAGGAGTTTAAAAGAAGGCATTTTAAAATTAGTAATGTAACACAGCTTAAAATAGTAATCAAATGCTTCTAAAGGTTAACCCGTAAAGGAAAAACTGACAGTATAAAACAGCGTCCTTCAGAAGCAAGGCCCTGTTGAAGGGGAGTGGCACTGTTAGTGACTAACAGTTTGGAAGGTGAAATACCTTACAGATTAAGAAAGACGGCCAAAATAAGGACTTCAAAATGCTGCTTATAATCACAATATGAAAAGTATTTTAAGAACCTGGTCTTGAACATGGCTCCCTTTTCACTGTATGACTTCTAAATACATGCATTTTAAACTAATGTTATTTATTTTAGTTTAGCATTTTCCTCAGGATTAGTCAGATGTTTTCTTGATCTTGTAAATGTGAGTAAGTTATAAAATTTCCTAAGAGATATAAAACAATTCTGCACCTCACTAGTGAGGTCATTTTTGAACTGGTGTGTATATTTTGAGTAAGGAGTGTAGAGTTTCTCAGGTCAGAATGTTCCCACAGACTGAATTGCAGTTTCATGTGCTTGATCCTAACATCCTCAGAGCTGTAGCCCCTTTTGAGGGTCTCAAGGATAATGTCTTCCTTAAGAAAATGTGAGAATGTTGCTCATTGTGTACAAAGTTTGTATATTCCCTGAATAGCAACAAACATTTCATTCAAGCAGTGTGCTGGATGCTTTACAGGCAATTGTTGTAGTTAAACCCTTACACTAGTTCTAAAGGATTATTTAAAAAATCATAGTTAGCATTGAGTGCTGCCATGGATGGCCTGAAGGACTGCAATGTTCCTCCTTTATCTTATCTTCCAAAACAACCTCCTGATGAGGTGTGAGCTTTCAAGTGAGTCCGGCTCTTCGCTTGCCTTTACTGATTCTGGAACTTCTGTAAAATGTTCTGTTTTCCGATATAAGAGCATAATGTCCTTATCGTGTTTTGGGTTGTTGTGTTTTTAATCCATGCAGGCACTTAGAGGCTAGAAGTGGAGGTTGCCTGTCTTCTTTCTCTTTCCGCTTTCCTTCTTGAGGTATGCTCTTCTAAGTTAACTGAAGCTCAGTGACTAGGCTAAGCTGGATTTCCAGCAAGCTGCAGGGATCTGCCTGTCTTTGTCTCTCCAGCATTAGAATTCCAGGTGTGTGTCTCCTTGCCTGCCTTCCTCATGACTGTGTGAGGTTGAACTGAGATCTTAATGCTGGCCATGCAAGATTTCACCAACTGAGCCATCCCCACAGCCCACTGTCCTCTCGCTTCTATTCAGCTTATGTTAGTGGACTGTTCTCATTGAATCTACTCCTTTTCTCTCATAGTCTCTTTGCTCTGCATTGAGTCCCTCTTCCCAGCTTTGTTCCGTACTCTTCTCAGAGACAGAATAATTCCCCTAGCACCGAAATGTTACTGGGCATCGCTTCTAATTATAGGGGCTTTCCAGAGTGACCTGCACTTTAGGTGATCTTCCTTCTTGGACTGATTGATTAAAATACTGTGTAACAGAAATGTCAGGTTTACCTAGACATGTGGCTATCTGTGTATGTTTAGCCATGCTGGAAAAAAAAAAAAAAAGATTTTTTGTTTGTTACTTGAGTATAGACACTGTTGTTTTTCTAATTGCAAATACATAGTTTCAACTTTTATTTCATGCATACTTACAGGATAATCTTAAAAGAATGGAAGAAATAATGGATGATTACATTTATATTTCTTTCTCTTTCTCCCCTTCCTATGGCAGCCAATAGGAGCTTTGAATCCCAAAAGAGCAGCGTTCTTTGCAGAACGGTTTGAGTCATGGGAAGATGATCAAGTTCCCAAGTTCCACTATGGTACTCATTACTCAACTGCAAGCTTTGTTCTCGCCTGGCTTCTAAGAATAGTAAGTTCAATTTGAATAACAGACCGTGACTAAATAAATCCAGTGTTTTGGAGAATGTACAATGATTGGAAATCAGCATTCTTTGAATAGTAAAAATGCTTTAAACAATTGAGCCAGTATTTCATGCCATAACCATAAAAATGTTTTCTTTAGAATTGTGTGACTATCTTCTTCTGTGTCTTCAGGTGGTGCCTATCATACCAGATCAGCTGGGTTCTTTTCAAATGTAACTTGTTGAAATAAGTAAATAAGGCTTCATTAGCACAGACATATGTTTACACATTCTGGTAGTTACATTGCTCTAGAATGACATGTGTTTCCAAATAACCAGCTCTGTTGTGTATTGACAACAGTTAAACAAGAGATGTTTCTATAAAATTGAAAGGTGATTCATATACTAAAAAGTTCGTTCTTTGGTAAGCATTAGCAGCACATCATTAATTAAAGCTTGTTGGAAGAGTATGGACAGACATGAGTCTTAGAAGTAAATTATAGGCTTAGCTACTGCCAAGCAATTGGCCGCTAATATGTGTTTAAGTGTTCTTTAACTAAGAGGAGGCTTTTAAACCTTCCAAACGTTTTTCTTGTCTTCATTATAAATTGTGAGCCAGCCACAATAATAGAACAATTACATATTGTACTATTTCCTGAACAGTGAAGCAAAGATATCTAATCCTGTCTAAATGCTATTAACAATTTATTCTTGGCAAGGATGGAAGCTGATAAAAATATTTCAGGTACCAAAATTTCTATTTAAACATAGAAACATTCAGAAAAGAAATTTAGAGCTATCACATAATTTGGCTAGAACTTGGACATATTACCAACTAATGACTACTGTTGTTTAAAATGTAGATTTAAAGATTTTAAAAATGTGAAAAAACATAAAAGTTTTCCACTTCTTATTTTTTTAGGAACCCTTTACAACTTACTTTCTAAATTTGCAAGGAGGAAAATTTGATCATGCAGATAGAACTTTCTCATCCATTTCCAGAGCATGGCGAAACAGTCAGCGTGATACGTCTGATATTAAGGTATGGAAATATTTCCTCGTATGGTTCCTATAGCCAGTGTGCTTCTGTTGAGTGAATGTTTGCTGTTGCTCTCCCCTGATCCAGACATATTTACGGAAGGTAAACCTCAGAGAACGGACCCGTAATTAAATGGCCAAGAACATTGCCCATGATTGCTGTTTCCTTTGTGTGTGTATCTCTGTCTGCCCATCTGAGCAGCTTTCGTCTCACCAGTTGGAAGTTTGTAGTTATAGGATGTTTTTCCTCTTCCTCACGTCATTGGAATTGTAGGCATGTAAGCTACACACAATTCCAAGCATAGTGAAGAAAATTACCACAGTCTGACAACGGGAAAAATCTCAGCATATTTATTTGGATTTCTAAAAGCTCTATCCTTAAAATAGTCACCATTGTAGATAATGTAATCCTCACTAGAAGCCCAGTGATTGATTTTCTTGTTGGAACGGTTTTCTGTAAGGAGCTGGCGTGGGTGCTGCTCAAGCATCTTCAGATGCACCTGTTGTCTTTAAGCCCTTGTCATCTTATAAAATAATACGACTTATGCAAAAACAGTTGTACCACATGGAGAGAAAAAGTGCCACCTGAGAAACAGGCATTTGAAAGCAGAAAAGTTCTGTTACTATGTGTGTATTATTAAAGACACTGCGAAATGTGAGGTGGAGTTGCGGCACTTTCAGCTGTGCTGCTTTCCAGGGTAAGATGCGGTCTTCTGTTTGATTTGACAGGGTACAGTACTGCGTTATCAACGATACTCTGTTGAAGATTCTGTCATATGCAAAAATAAGCTTTTGTATTGGAACAGCTGAGGAGATTTTTTTGATCTCTTAATATACTCTGAAACACTTTCACAGTCTTTCCAGCTTCTCTTCTGTCAGTTGTTTGAGCCCTGAGGGGAGGGATTTGATAGGTGCATCCCATTGAAGACCGAGTGTTCCAAAGTCTCTGTCTGCACACTGTCCAATTGTGGGCCTCTGTGTTTGTTCCCATCTGCTGAAGGAGGAAACTTCTGTGACGGCTGAGTGAGACACTGCTCTGTGGGCCCAGCAGAATGCCCGCGGAAGCCGTTCTGTCGCTGCCGTTAGCACAGCACTGGCGTGTGCTTCCTCCCACGCTGAGTGAGACACTGCTCTGTGGGCCCAGCAGAATGCCCGCGGAAGCCATACTGTCGCTGCCATTAGCACAGCACTGGCGTGTGCTTCTTCCCACAGCTTTTGTGCCCCTTTTACCAGCACACCTTGCAGTCGGCCTGTTGTTTACCTTCATCGTGTGGTAGTGTGCAGAGACCTTTCACTGCCACCAACAGCAGTTAGCAGGGGTGAAGGCTCTGCTAGGCACCAGCCAGACTTTACCATATTCAATGAGATATATAGGTCTCTGTTTCAGCAGGAGTGCCTTACCGTCAGTTTGTGGAGCACAACCATTATCCTCGACAATACCCTAAGTTGTCGAGGGTTTCCATGGGGCCCCTTCAGCAGCAGCTCACTTAGCTCTAATCTTTTCTTGGCCCTGGAAGTTTTACTTGGTGGCAAGAGATTTCTATATGGGGGTTTGTCTCTCCTGCTTTTTAGTGGTTCCTAGTGCAGTGGAAACTCTCTGGAAGCTATCAGGGTGACCTTAGCTAAGTTCCTAGCAATGGGGGTACGGAGCCTGAACAGGCTGGCTCCCAAGCAGGCAAGACTTCCAGTGGAGGGACTGCGACACCAACCCAGCCACAAGACCTTCAACCTACAATTTGTCCTGCCTGCGAGGTGTGCTAGGATAAGAGTAGAACAGAATTAGCAGGAGTGGCCTACCACTACCACCCAGGAGGAAGAAAAAGTCAGAAAGTCAGGCAGCAGGGTCAGAGACAGCCCCTGCTCCCACTGTTAGGAGCTGCAAAAGAAGACCAAGCTACCCAGCTGTAACGTGTATGCAGCTAGATCCAACTTGAGACTCATGCTACAAAGGGAGCCCACCCCTGGCACTGCCTAGAGGTCCAGGGCCCAGAGGCTGGCTAGCCCAGAGACCTCGGATTCCTAATGATGTTCTGCCATAGTCATAGACTGGTGTCCAGCACAACTGTCATCAGAGAAGCTTCACCCAGCAACTGAAGGAAGCAGATTTGGAAACCCATAATCAAAATTGGGCAGAGCTTGGGAAATCCTGTGGAAGAGGGAGAGGAAGGGTTGTAGAAGCCAGAGGGGTCAAGGACACCACAAGAACACCTACAGAATCTACTGGGTTCATAGGGGCTCACAGAGACTGAACTGACAACCAAAGAGCCTGCATGGGAGTGACCCAGGCCCTCTGCATATATGTTATAGTTGGGTAGCTTGGTCTTCTTCTGGAACTCCTAACAGTGGGAGCACGGACTGTCTCTGACTCTGTTGCCTGTCTCACTTCTCCTCCTACTGGGTTGCCTTATCCAGCTGTAATAGGAGAGGAGGTGCCTAGTCTTACTGTATGACTGGTTGATACCCATGAGAGCCCTGCCCTTTTATGAAGAGAATGGAAGAAGAGTGGATTGGGGGAGGGGGGATTAGGAAGAGAAAGAGGTGGGGAAGCTGCAGTCAGAATACTAAGGTAGAAGTTTGGAGGGCCAAGATACCAGAGTGTGGACACAGTGAAAGACAAGTGATAGAATAAATACGAATTTTCTCTACACTTGGGAGCCTAAAGATGGCATTTTCGTCACTTATATTAGAATAATAGGTACTTTTTATCTGCTTGTGCTTCTGGAGTGTGACTGCATCAAAGGTACAAGTTAACAGAAACTATGGTGACTTAGATGTCACAGCACTTAGATGACTTTCACTCTGTGGCTTTGCATGTGGTTTCCGGAATTCGGTGTCTTCAGTCACGGAGCATTTACCGTGGATCAGTCACAGAGAGTACACAGCTAGGTGCCTGGGCACCTGCTCTTTTAAAAGGTGACCATTCTAGGGACCTTTAAAGACCAAGAGAATTTAGAAAATCTAAGAAAATTCTAGCTCTAAAACAACGAAGAAAACAAATAGGCTTCATCAAGTTTGTAATTATTTCATCCCTGAGAACTATTTTAATTCTTCTTTTCTACTTCTCATTTCTTCTTCACCTATTTCAGTATGGATTTTCTACTTGTACATACTCCTTGTAATGTATTTTTAATAACATCTCAATTCTGTAAAATCAGATTATCAGATGGATGCCAGTTACATTTCATTTATTGTGGAATGTTTTTCTTTATCTTTATTGTGGTTTATAGTTGTGCTGGGTGTAGTAGTCTAGGCTGGTATCTGTGGTCTCAGTGTTTGTAGAACATCAGTCGCTCTGGGTCCTTCTGGCTCTTAAATCGCCATTGAGAATGAGAACTTTATGTGTGTCTATCTTTGATGCCATTTGGTCCTCTTCTCATGCAACTTTCACTATGCTTTGTTTTGTATGTTTAGTGGTTTGATTACTCTGTGCTGTGAGAGTTTCCTCTCTGGTCCCAGCTATTTGTTTTCTGCTTCTTGTCTCATGGGCCCATCCTTCTCAGTCATCTTGTTGAAAATATCTTCTGTTCCTGTGACCTGGTTTTCTTCTCCTTTCTCTATTCCTGTTATTTATAGATTTTGTCTTTCTATAGTGTCTCTGATTTCCTGAATGTTTTGTGCTTGAATTATTTCAAATTTAACATTTTCTTTGACTGAGGTTTCCATTTCTTCTATCTTGTCTGCAACACCCGAGCTTCTCTCTTCCGTGCCATGTGCTGTGTTGGTGGTAAGCATGCTGGCTACTTTTCTGTCTCCTGGAGAGGAGAGAGCCTCAATTTGGAAAGTAACTCCGTAAGATTGGGTTGTAGACAAGCCTGTGGAGCATGTCTTAATTAGTGATTGATGTGGGGACACTCAGCCCATTGCAGGTGGTGCCATCCTTGGGCTGATGGCCCTGGGCCCTGTAGGTAAGCCGCTGAGCGAGCCCTGGGGCACAAGTAGGTGAGCAGCCCCTCCATGGCCTCTGCACCAGCTCCGGGCGCCAGCCCTGCCTGAGCTCCTGCCCGACGTCCTTTGTGATGAACGGCGATGCGGAAGAGTAAGCCTTGTTGACTTGCTTTGGTGACTGGGTTTTATCATAGTGATACTAACCCTAACTAGGACAGTGAGACATCCCTGGGACGTTTTTGTTCTGTTTGACTTTCCACAATTTTCATTTCTGGTTTTATCTCAGTTTGTGTTTTCTTTAGTCATTCTATTTCTACTTTCATATCTTGAACTATTTCTTTTGTTTCATTCCACTGTTGGTTTTTCATAAACTTCATCAATGAATGTATTCCTGGCTTCCTAAGGTCCTTGGACATATCGTGAGCTGTTCTGAGTCCTTGTCCTGTCCTCCCGCTGGACTGCATGTGGGAGTCTCTGTAGAGACCGCGCCCCTCGCTCACTGTGTGTCTATGCGGGGGCTGCACTTGGGTTGACTGAAGTGACTTGGGCGCTGACATCGCATGGTAGGGAGAGAGGCAGACAAGGGGAGCAGCTGTGAACGCCTCAGGAAGGAGCTGAGGTGGGCCCAGTGGGGAGAGAGAGCTGGTAGCTTGAAGGAAAGCTGCAGTTAAAGGTCTGGGGCCCTGGAGTTAGTCTCCGCTGGACGGAGGTGAGGTGAACCAGGGCTCCTTGAGAATAAAGGAGAAGAGGCAGAAAAGGGCCTCACTGAGTTCCTACTGGCTGTGCTCAGGGGGAGTCCAGGGTAGAGGCGGCTGCCCAGAGGCTGGAGGAGGGCAAAGGGCCCTCAGCAAGCTCTGGGGCCTTCCTAGGGAGTGGAAGTGGGGAGGCTGCCTGCAGGACCAGTCGGAGGACTGGGGGACTCAAGTGGGATCAGCTGGATCCAGGCCAACTGTGTTCACTGGGGAATCCCAGGCAGAAAGTGTTTCTAGGTATAGGAGGCTGACACAAAGGCCTTAAAAACACACGCACGCACGCACACACACACGCAAACCCTGAGTCCAGTCAGTGTTGCCCTGTGTGTATTCATGGGTGGGTGTGAGCCTCAATTCTTCGATTACA